CCTCCTGGGTTCAGGCAATTCTCCTGCCTCAGCCTCCTGAGTAGCTGGGATTACAGGCACACACCACCATGCCCAGCTAATTTTTTGTATTTTTAGTAGAGACGGGGTTTCACCATATTGACCAGGATGGTCTCGATCTCTTGACCTCGTGATCCACCCGCCTCGGCTTCCCAAAGTGCTGGGATTACAGGCTTGAGCCACTGCGCCCGGCCTGACCCCATCTCTTTAACAACAACCAAAAAAAGATCAGCTCCCCAAGCAGTTGAAGTATTAGTATTAAGTACAACCATATATAATTGAATTTTTGTAGGACAGAAATACCAGCAATTTCACATAACTAATAGATTCAGTAAGGTAAGTTGAGAGAGAAAATGCTAGCTAGCTGGTTCTCGAGAGGCTCAGAGGAGGGAGAGGCCATGCCCATTAGGTGGGTAGGGGTGGGAATGCACAGCAGGAAGGCTGCCCAGAGGAGGTTGCATTTCAGATGCTCCTAGAAGGGACCCTGAGCTGGATGGCAGGAAAATGGGAGTGTTCTGATTCGTGCTGGGAACTGTAATCCCTCTTGCTTGGAGCTTCTATAGAAATGTGGGTTAGAGTAGAAAGGAAGGCTGGGGGCTGTGTGTGCCTTGGTGACGTGTCCCCCTCACTCCCGAGCCTTACTCTGTTCCCCTTTCTTCCTGGCAGCAGAGCCCCCTCCCTTGCTGCACTCAGGGACATGACTGTCAGCACTTCTACCCCCCCTCAGACTTCACTGTCAGCACTCAAGTCTTCAGGGACATGAAAAGGAGCCACTCCTTACAAAAAGTTGGGGAGCCCTGGTGTATTGAGGTAGGTCTCGGAGCAGAATGACGGTATGAGATGAGCTAGCTCTGAAATGAAGCCACCCATCCAAAGTTGACCTCTCTCTAGGGCAGGGCCCTTCCACTGCGATCCCTGAATTCTTGTCGGGTCACTGTCATTTCGGGTGCCATGATGTCTGGGTGTGCTGACCACTGATAGGGATATCATAGCCATAAAAATACCTGTTTACAAGAAGAGGGTGGAGGGTGGTGCTCCTTTGACTCCAGGATGCCTGACTCCCAGTGAAGGTCCCGTGATCCAGTACCACACGTAACTTCCATGAAATTGAGGAGCACAACCTTATCCCATTAAACTTGGCTCCAGGAAGTGTCTCCTGGGACGCTACACAGATTGCAGTGGAGGAGAAGTTACCACCTCAACTTTGCCTTCATTACTAGTCATTTAGAACTTGAAAATTTTCTTTTAAAATCCAGGGTGCTGGAAAATGCCTACTTGGCCTCGACAATACCTACCGGAGGCAGCCGTGAATGGCTTTTCTCGCAGATGTTGCTCTTCAAGGACAGGAAGCATTGTTAATTTCCTTTAAATAATTCAATACAACGTCAATACCCCACACTGCTCAGTGCTTGGGAGTGACAGTTCTCTTCAAATTAGTAGTCCTAAAGAAAAAAGACCATCTAGAACATGCTTTTATGTTCAGAAAAGCAAAAGTCAATATAGATTAAAAATTTTCAGACTCTTAAATTTAAACAGCAAATGATTTAGTACTAATGCTAGCTTTAAGAAAAGTAAAAGTGAATATTTATGAACCATTTAATAAAGCCTATGTGTTTAAAAACATTTATTGTATACCTACTGGGTGATGTGCTGTGTGTCAGGGCCTCAGGAACAGAAAGCAGTGCCTCCAGCAGGCGGAGACCTGGAGTAATACATATGTACATAAGTCTTGCTGTTGGAGACAAAAAGTGTGGAATAAATCATCTTTAAAAGTTTGTTCTGGTGTGGGAAGTGATAAATAGCCATATAGGAGAACTAGAAACTGTAAAAACATATAAAGAAAATATAAATACCTATACTCTTATTATCTATTGGTAATATTTCTCCTTTTTTTTTTTTTTTTTGAGATGGAGTCTTGGTCTGTTGCCCAGGCTGGAGTGCAGTGGTGTGATCTTGGCTCACTGTGACCTCCACTTCCCGGGTTCAAGCAATTCTCCTGCCTCATCCTCCCAAGTAGCTGGGATTACAGGCGCCCGCCACCATACCAGGCTAATTTTTGTATTTTTAGTAGAGATGGGATTTCAACATGTTGGCCAGGCTGGTCTCGAACTTCTGTCCTCAAGTGATCTGCCTGCCTTGGCCTCCCAAAGTGCTTGGATTACGGGTGTAAGCCACCATATCTGGCCGATAATCTCTTAATATTTGGATGTATTTTCAAATGTCTAATCATTCATGTGCACAGACCTTAAAACTGTTTCACAAAATTGGGATTATAACATGTTTTGCAATTTCTTTCTATTTTTAATTCTAGGAGCACTTTTGACACTGTAACATGTGCTTAATTCTCTTTAGTAACTTCATGAACTAAAGTGGAAATCCTCTGGTCTAACTATTCCCTGGTAGCCAGATGTGCATAAAACTGAAGATGTTTCTGGAGTCTTTCGGACTTTTTACTTCCTTGCATGCATTCCTCTGATCGTGCATGTTCTTGGGCCATGCCTATGTCTCGATTACCTGGAGCTGCTGACCGCGTCTATAAGGAACATGCCCTTTAACTGGCCTGGGTCTGACAGAGCAGGGAGGCCTCCTTTTCTCTGCATTAGCCATGGCCTGGTGCTTTTTTTAGTAGCCTCTCATTGGTTCAGCTTTTAATAAACATAGCTGTTCATTCTGACTGTGATAAGATGATATGAACATAGCTATTCTTCCATCAGAGCCTGGCACATGGTAACTCATTAATCTTTGGTTGGCGGCAGGAGGTAGATAAAGGAACCAGGCACCCATTTTAAGTATGAGGAAAACGAAACAGAAAGACTGGGTTTCTTCCTTATAACTCATGATCCGCAGGAGCTGATTAGATCCCTGGCGCCAGTGACTGAGCATTTCTTAGCCTTGTCCTCAGAACCCAGAAACATCTCCCAGGGACGTGCCAAAATGCCACGTTTCCAGGATGCCATATAAATCTGTAAACTGTGAATAGGTGAGATACAAAGATGCCACTTATAGGCTGTGCCAACTTGGGCATGTTACCTGACTGATCTGTGCTTTAATTTCTCCATCAGTGATAAAGGTTCACATATAGGCTGTATATAAAGGGGTTGCTTGACTGGCACGGTGGCTCATGCCTGTAATCCCAGCACTTTGGGAGGCCAAGGCCTGCAGATCACGAGGTCAGGAGATCAAGACCATCCTGGCCAACATGGTAAAACCCCGTCTCTATTAAAAATACAAAAAAAAAAAAATTAGCTGGGCATGGTGGCACATGCCTGTAATCCCAGCTACTTGGGAGGTTGAGGCAAGGGAATAGCTTGAACCAGGAAGTTGGAGGTTGCAGTGAACCGAGATTGCGCCACTGCACTCCAGCCTGGTGACAGGGCCAGACTCTGTCTCAAAAAGAAAAATAAAATAAAGGGGTTGGTGAAAGAGCTGGTGGGCTCAGACTGGTGCAGGCAATTAGTAAGATACTTGATCCCCTTCCACACGCACTCATGGAAGCCTGTCTTCCTCTCCTAAACTGCATCTCTCTCTGTCCCCTTCCACCCAGTGTGGAAGCTGTCTTTCCTCTCCTGGATTCTCTCACTCAGTGTGAGGAGAGTGTTCTTTGCCTGTTTTTCTTCCTCTGGTAACCCTTTTCACTCAGTGTAAGAGCTAGCTATTTCTCTCTCCTTCTCCTGTTTGTCTATTTAAATAAGTCACTTTCTACAAACAAACAAAACAAAACAAAAAAGATACTTGAGGAATCACACCCTGATGGTGCGTCCTTGCAATGGGCCAGTTGCTGCTGGAGTAGCTCAGTTATGTGTTCCCTGTAGGTTTCCATGGAAATTCACATGTAACATTCCTAGTACCTACTTTAAAGAATTTTGATGGTGGCCAGGCACGGTGGCTCCCACCTGTAATCCCAGCACTTTGGGAGGCCAAGGTGGGCAGATCATGAGATCAGGAGTTTGAGACCAGCCTGGCCAACATGGTGAAATCCCGTCTCTACTAAAAACACAAAAATTAGCCAGGCGTGGTGGCACATGCCTGTAATCCCAGCTACTTGGGAGGCTGAGGAGGAGAATTGCTTGAATCTGGGAGGCAGCGGTTGCAGTGAGCCAAGATAGCGCCACTGCACTCCAGCCTGGTGACAGGGCCAGACTGTCTGGAGGCCGGGGACGGTTGGGGGTGGGGTGGAAGAATTTTGGTGATGTCTGAAAATCTACATCCCACAGCATGGGTGTGATAGAAATGGCTTTACGGAGTGTGGTGGGAACATCACATGACTAGTCATCAGAACTAAATTCTAGTCCAACACTCTATCACTTTTTGGCAAGGTGCTTTTCTCCTCTGCAATGCAAATCCTGCACCTGCAAAAAGAAGGTGGTCATGGGATATTCCCCCAGCTGTTCCACTGCTACACTGCTACAGAGATCCCTTGACATTTAACACAGGCTTCCTGTGATCCAGGAACTACTGTAAATACCGCCTATATTAACTTTTCCGAACCTTGAAAGCAACCCTAAGAGGGAGGTGCTGTGATTATTTCCATTTTGCAGTTAACTGAGCCAGAGAGAGAGAGAGAGAAAGCAACATGCCTAAGATCACACAGCTGAAGAGTGAGAGCTATAAAATTGCTGGTAATCAAGGGCCATGGCTACTGGCCATGGTTCAGAGCCATGATACCCACCATCTTCCACTTGTTCAGGGAGAAGGTGTTTGATCCTTTCCTTCACTCAGCCTTCTTAGGAGTTGGGAGGAAATTTTGATTCAGGATACCTAAGTTCTTACAAGTCTCAACAATTGTACCTTTGGTCCCATCCACATTTCAAATTCATTGTCCCTTCTCTTTCTTTCTGTGCAGTTCAGCCGGATTCGAACCCTTTAGATCTCTTCCTTTAGGGAATTAAGGTTGGTAGACCAGCTGAGTAAACGTAACTCAGAAAGTCAATACCCACCTGGGCAGGGATGAGTCATTCCTTTCTAGTTAGCTATTCATGTACATTTTAAAGCTTGCCACAAAAAGTCATTACATTGAGGCTATTAACATGTTTAATAGTGACAATAATAGGGTGTGACCCATGGCATATAACCACATTCAGATAAGAAGAAAGTGTTTTTTTTTTCCTGTAATTGCTCAGTCAATACCATTTTCACGGAGACACTTGCAAACAAACTTTTAAAAAGTTCTTTGTCTAAACCCTTCCCTGATTCCTGTTTCCTTCCTCTTCAGGGGTTCTGTAAACTTTTCCCGATCAGTGGCCGGGGATTAGCAAGTTGGTGTACTCCGTCCTTCTGATTTTGTGGTTCACCTACCCTTTTGCTGGTGTTGAGCCTGTTTTTATTTCATTTTGGGGGTGTGTGTGCGTGCACACGCATGTGTGTGTTTTCAGGAGGGGCACATTATAGCTGCTACTTGCTTATTAACCTCTCAATCTATAAATTTCAGGGAAGAAGAGACTCCCGCTAAATTTGCCAAGCTAGTCACATAAACAGGGAGTTAGCCATTTTGGTGAGAGGAAATGAAACTTTTCTTGGGTTTATTAGACCACATCCTATGTGGCTTATTATATGTCTGATTTCTAAAAAGCATGTCATCATGGCCAAAGTTTTATTTTTGCTTGTTAGTCATTTGAAACAAATATAGATGTTGCTTCATTTCCTGGGTACTATAGTTTTCAGTACGTGATATGTATGGAAAATCTGGATTTGCACAACCAAATGCAGAGAAGGGAAGTATTTGCTAATTTATAATTCTCTACATTATAACTTTGGATTAGCAAGCATTCTGCTAAACAAAACATTTTCATTTCTCTCCCACCCCTGATTATATAAAGAAGCAGATGAGACAATGAAAAAAATACCCCTTCAAGACAAAGTGAATATTTTGAAATACTTCCTCGCAGTCTTTTAAAAAATGTGATTTAAAAAATCCTAGGGGGGATCATACTGTACATGTACTTGTTTTTCTGCTCTTTTCACTTTATATATGGAATATTTCCCATATCAAAATATAATGTTTAACTTGTTGCATAATCTATACCAGAAACACTTGCCTATGTATGCCACAAAGACTCTTTATGAAACTACAAATGATTACCCATCCTGGAAATCGTAGGTATCCCTTAATGTTCTTAGCTGTTAACCCAGTGAACGCAGACTGTTTCCAAAGTTCAGCTATTGGCCGGACGCAGTGGCTCACGCCTGAAATCCCATCACTTTGAGAGGCCAGGGCAGGTGGGTCACTTGAGGCCAGGAGTTTGAGACCAGCCTGGCCACCTTGGCAAAACCCCGTCTCCACTAAAAAATACAAAAATTAGCTGGGTGTGTGGTCCCAGCTACTCGGGAGGCTGAGGCAGGAGAATCGCTTGAACCGTGGAGGTGGCAATTGCATTGAGCTGAGTTTGCACCACTGCACTCCAGTCCAGCAAGACTCCATCTCAAAAAAAACACACAAAAAACACAACACCCAAAAAACAATGTTCCACTATTATGGTGCAATTGCATCTCATGTGGCAGTGGGTGTAAGTTGCAAATAGTGAGTGATTCTGGAACATTCCATAATGCCCCAATGATGTACGTGACCCGTCATCACTTTGCATGTATAGCCCTGGATCGTTCTGCTCAAGTGGGCCAGCAAATTCAACTCCTCGTCATCCCTTCTCTACCCCAGTTCATGCTCATTGGGTAGAATGGCAGGTGGGCCTACCAGATTATTTTAATTT